AATGTCGATGTGCCGTTTTCTGAACATGGCCAGCTTTCAATATCTAAAGGCTTCTGAATAAAAAGTTCTAACATTTTTACTGACCAATACACGTAATAAAAATTCTCATATGAGTCGTGTGACTAAACTAGGATAAAGGAACGCTCTGTTCGAAAGACATTCAACGTTTATTTTAAATGATATGCTGATGTAAATTAAAAATTATAAACATAGTCCAGGCTTTATCAACCTGGAAACAAACAACGAGGTAAAGAAGTATGATGATAATTTATGATATATCACGTTCCTGACATTAATTTTCTTTCAGCAATTGCATATTTCTAAAATAAAAATGAATCATTGCGGGAAGGCACCTGCTCAGTTAATTTTAATAACGAAAGTGATAAGATAACAGAATCGTTTCTTAGGTCTTTTACAGCTAGCACAAAGCTAAAAAGTAAAAACTAAAGCACTGCAAGAAGTTAGTGATCTCTGTGATGAAGCACCACTTAATAAGATACCATCTATGAGGTTGTTTTTATCGTATTAAGTAAGTATTTGTCATGGATTTAAGTGATTGACATTTCATCAACCTAATGAGCAACTCGCGCAGAGGCAAGTGATATTCATAAGCTTCATCTCATGAAGCCCAAGGCGTGTCAGGACATGCCCTCCCATGGCGTACCTACACATATGAGTACCGGTGGCAAATCACCCTCGCGGGGTGCATATTATATATAATTTGTTTCCACTACGTGAAACCTTATGAAATACCTCTAATGCCTTGCTTACATATACGAGTACCGGTAGCAAACCACCTTCGCGGCGTGCATATTATAGTCCAGTCAGTATTGTCGCGAAATCCGTTTTTCCTCAAACAGCTGGAACTATGCTAAAAAGTTTCTTAAGATAGTAAAGAACACTTTACATAGAGAAAAAAATGTTTCCAACCCCGGGCAAGGGTGAAAACCACCCTTAATAATCTATTTTTCCAATTATCTCAAAAAGTATACGAGATACGGAAAAAAACTTCAAATGAAAATTGTAGATCTTTTTGAAATCTACAAAACATTATTCCACCCTCTTGCCCCTATTTTCAATAGGGGAGCCAATAATCGAAGTCAAAGATAACTTTTTTAACTAACTTTAACTTTTTAAGTATTGAATCTTTGACTTCGATTATTGGCTCCCCTATTGAAAATAGGGGCAAGAGGGTGGAATAATGTTTTGTAGATTTCAAAAAGATCTACAATTTTCATTTGAAGTTTTTTTCCGTATCTCGTATACTTTTTGAGATAATTGGAAAAATAGATTATTAAGGGTGGTTTTCACCCTTGCCCGGGGTTGGAAACATTTTTTTCTCTATGTAAAGTGTTCTTTACTATCTTAAGAAACTTTTTAGCATAGTTCCAGCTGTTTGAGGAAAAACGGATTTCGCGACAATACTGACTGGACTATTACCAAAACTCTGATGACCGCCCCTCGCGGGGGCATATTATGTATAATTTGCTTCCTCCGTATGGAACTCATTATGAATAAGGACTTGCCTTCCATGGCTTGCCTACACATACAAGTATCAGTAACAAAACATCGTTGATAGAGGAATATCCTCATAAATTTTATAATCGCCCTTGTGGGGTCATATCACACATAATATATTATTTCCATTACGTGAATATCAATATATGTTCTCCTTAGAACATGTTAGCTTATGGAGTTCGTACTATTATGTAAGCACCGGTAACATACGACACTCGAGTGGAGCAAATTATGCATAATTTAACATGTAGTCTATTCGTGATTCATAATTTATTTTTGTGACCATGGGGTCTGTAAAAGTGTAAACGATTCGAAACATTAAAAATAAGTAAATTGAAAATATAATAAATGTCGCTTGACATAATTCATTACTTCCATCGCGTGGAAATCCATACATCAACGCAACGCAACATACCCGCTCATGGCTTGCGTACACACATAAGTATCGGCTATAAACTACCCTCTTAATAGACTATAAAGATCGAACATCGAATGTTGACGTACCCCGTTGGGAAGTGCAATGTACGTGGTTTTTAAGGTGTCGCATACTCCGAGGTCTTGGGTTCACCCCGGTGGGGCAAATCATTGTATGATAAAAACGAGCATCTGTGCCTAAGTTTTGGTTGTTAACAAATGTGAGTTTAAAATCTAATCTAATAAATTCTAATCTATGCATCATCATTATGCATTTCCAGGCGTTAGCCCATAACACAAGCCTTTCAATGCCCATTATAAGGCTAGGCTAATTGGTGTGAAGTGTTGACTCGATCACTACGGTTGTTCTACCGTAATATATAATACATTTCAAAAGAAAAAGGAATATCGAAGCAATTAATGTTTGAAAAAATTTAGTGCAGGTAAGTTGATAAATTGGGAGCTCCATAAATAATTCTTAAATAAATTTAATGGTATCGCATGCCATTCAAAAGCTTGTTTATCTAAATCCAATATATATCAAACTCCAATCTCAAGTGCAGTACACTATAAATATGTAAAGAATTCTAAGTTTTCTGCAATTTAAAGACTATCTGCCAGATAAATAGAAGATAACATATTTTCTCTTGAAAATAACAAAAGTAAACCAAATGGGTTGCACACTCTTTTGATCGCGTAATGAGAGAAACTTGCAATATTGGAAATGTCGTGTATGTGGTGTCTGAGGTGGCCAACTTGATCATTTTGATATATAAGTGGTGCTAGTTACTGAAGAAAGATTGCACGATCTACCAAATTCTTGAAAGGTTTTGAAGATCATTGTAAGCAATTATCCCCTTTATGTTATTTTAGTAAAAATTACTGAAAACTGTTCTTAATATTAAACTTACGCTTTCTAACCTTGCCACGACTGTCTGGAATAAATATACTTCAAACCCTACGCATAATACATGCACACCTCATGTAAGCTGTGTAAATCTTATAAATAACTAAATCTTTATTTAGTATTAAGTAATACATATAAATGACTCGGATCTAAGAACTGAAAAACAAAAGAAAAATTACAATCAATTGTAGATTCCAGGATGGCAAATGAATTTCATAAAATCTGGTCTGAACTTCGGAATAGCATAATTTATCACGGCAACCCAGCAACAATATAAAAACTATACCAGAGAATTTCGTTGTAAAAACGTAAACTTCAGAAGTTGATCGGTTTCAACATTTGTGTCATTCCGTGGGGTTGTATCAACCACTCCCTACTTCTAACAATAATTATGAATTCACTGCAATCGACCTTGCAATCACTTCCCGCCAATCTAATATGAAAGGTTGGGAAGTATAGTTGAAGAACACGGCACGATATGCTAGCACTACGCTTTTCAACATATTCTACAAAGAGCGACAGCTCTGTCTTAAAAACAGCTATGAGATGGCTCGGAAACGCTGGCTTGCGTGGTTGCATTGGTCTAGGAACAAGAATGTTTATCGGAATAATCCCGCAAGTTGTGGACTCGGCTCTGAACTAACACGATTTTTGAGAGACTTATTTTTAACTCGTGACTTATCTTAAAATAAGTACCATTATTTTAAATAAGTAAGTAGTTTTTACATGATATACCAATGGATGATAAGTCTAATTACCTAAGCTCACCTGTCTTGGCAAACACATATATTGAAGTCGATTGTTTTTAAAGAATCAGTCCGTAACCTACTATTCTGTGTCTATAAGTTAACTTATTTCCTTTTCTTCAATAATGTACTCTTTACATCATAATGATCTGTTTCAAATACTTCGTCATATATGTTGTTCTGAACGTCATACAGTAATTATGCTGCGTATTATTTGGTTCAGCATGTGGTACACATGACTTGTTCCTACTTCAAATTATCCCGAATCATTGTATTTGTACCGACGAAGATTAGTTTAGCCTTGTTTTGGTTCAAAACAGGTGAAAGTAGTTAAAGACAATCCGGTTGGTGACTTGTACCGAATAATGGTAATCGTAAGTGGGACCCTGATTTTTGGTACTTAAGTAAAAAGTACAGTCTTGTAAAATGTAAGACTCAGTATCGAACAACTTTACATCTTTTTCTCTCGTTCGTACGCCTTATTTGTGATATACAAAAATACAAATGAATGCTACACAAGGAAGCGTCCGGTCATTAACAAAACAAATATATGTAGAAGTATATATATATATATATATGTATATATATATATATATATATACTTCGCGAGTTAAGCAGCTTCGTAAGCTTGAAGAAATTAAAGGCGTGATTCAAATAATATTATTTGATTCATTTTTAAGCTTACTCGTTTCTTTATACAGTTTCATATAATCTGATAAATGTTAATATTTAAATTTATCATAAATTGTCACATTGGCGTATATATCTATGTACGTGGCGATCACCAGGCGATAACAAACAGGTCTCAATATAAAGCTTTCAGTGACGGTCAAGTAGTTTAATAGCAGCATTTTACCAGAAATAAAATGCATATTAAAATACTTACCTCACTGAAAGCTTTCACTTTAAATTCTGCCTGGTGAAATAATTGAGCCAATGAGTTAATATGGCGCTGTCAAAACTTAGGAAAACAAAAATGGCCGCGCTTCTGCCAGGTGTCGCCACTGGACCGGATACAAGGTGAATAAAAGTACGGAAACTGATGGTAATTCGACGGGAAACGGAAGTGCTATCTCAATATAAAGCTTTCAGTGAGGTAAGTATTTTAATATGCATTTTATTTCAGGTAAAATGCTGCTATTTTAATTTTTTAATATATCTGTATTCTACATGGAATTCTTTAAAATGAAAACAAAAATCGCATCTTGCATCTTCCCTATTGCATAAACTTTTAGGGAACCATTTATTTTATAAACCTATATTTAATTATATAAGTAACACTGTAGAAAAATTGTAAAATGTAAATAATTAACTAATATATTTTAAGTTGCATGTTCTTAGTAATAAGCTAGGCATAAGGACAATGTATCCATTGCCAATAAATTAAAAAAAAAAAATAGTAATCTGTGGAGTACATTGGTAGTTGGAGGTTACAAAAACAAGCGACGTCCCTTGATTTATGAACTTTCTTGGTTAACCATATCTAGATTGTTTATTTACTATTGTGCAAATGTTTTAATTCTCTTATATGTTAATGTAAAATGTTCAATATGAGTGTTACAAAAAAACCCCTCAAATTCAAACCCATAAAAAAGCAGCTCGCAAAGGAATTTACTTTTCTTAAAAATATACTTTTACCTATAAATTTTCCTATGCAATCACGAGGTAAGCTAAATACATATTATATTTTAGTTTGTAATTTTGTACCGATATTAATTATTCTATAAACTGACCTTTATTAGTTTTTCATAATTCACACCGTTCAGTATGACACCATTAAACAAATTATGATATCTTAACCTTATAACTTAACCTTAATTTAACCTATCTCACATTGACCCTTCTTTTGTCATAATATCATAATAGAAGGCTAAACTGTACTTCCAGAGCCCAACTGGTGATACTTCACACTTGTTTAGTTTAGGTCAGTGTTATGACCAAATAAAAATTTTATGAGACCTTTTCTACAAAAAAGTTTGAGTATCACCTATTGGGGTGTGAACATTTTCTTAATCTTTAGCAAGTCACATTACATTTTAATAATAATAAAAAATAGATCTTTTCAGCAAGCATTGGTGTCGATTCTGGCATGATTCTCTAAACTTAAAACTAAATTTAGCATGAGTTTCTCCTTTTCATTCTGTATAGAGCGTGACAAGGATACACTGTTGTCAAATTTAAGTTTAGGTTTTGAGAATCATGCCAGAATCGACACCATTGGTTAAGTGGTAGAAAGCTTGCTTACCACTCGGGCAGCCCAGGTTTAAATCCCAGCCGAAGAAGCTCTATTTTACTTTCCACTTTTTTTTAAGCCAGTGTAACACCAACTTAGTATTACACTTAAGATAACCCAGATAATGCAGTGATGCTTGCAGTTTTGGTGACATTTCCTCCATTATGGACTGTTCTCACCATGCTTACAACATAAAGTAGATTGATTAATAATAATTTTTATCAAAGTAATTTTTCGAGATGGACATAACATTTTACATTATAAAATAAATCAATATTATTATTTGATCTCAAATAAACTTATTTATTACCTAAACTAGGTACCTACTTTTATAATTGTTATACATAGTTAATTCATGTAATTTACAATCAATAAATATAGTGTTGATGTTGATGCACAAGTTGTCCATATCCTTTATATTTGGATATCTTGTCTTCTATTGATTTCCCATTATCATTCCTATTTTCCAATTATTAAGTTAAGATTAAAAACATGATTTTAATACCATTAATTGAATAATGCCCAGTTAATTGCTCATGATCCAAATAAAATTTGAGGCAATGGGAACCACTTTAAAAGTTTCATTTGCCATCATGGTGTCATAAAACCACAACCATTTTTTGAATATTATAACACAATAAACATTGTTCATTGTTATAGGGGATAACGACGAATTAGAATATGAAATAATAAATGACACAAAAGCTGAAAACAAGGAGACGTCTAAGCGAGCTCGTAATATCACAGAGCTTGAAGAGAAATTACATAAATTAAAATCGCAGAATAACTATAATTTAAAAAACAAATTAGTGAAAAAGAGCATAAGTAGCAAATTAAACAAAAAAATCAAGAAAAAAGAGAGATTAAATAAAAATAAAGTATTAAAGCCTGTAGGAGATTCTCAATTTTCTAATGTTAAGAAGAGTGAAAAGGAAGAGAAACCCAATAGCAATATAGCAAAGCCAGTCTTTAATACTGACGGAAAGTTGGTTTTTTCAAAGTTTGATTTTGCAAATGTTGGTAAAACTGGTAAGTACTAAAACTTGTAGCGGTAATTATTATGACTTGCATCTGTAGCATGTAGGATATAATACCATATCTGACTGACACAGCCATGATCACAGCTAGGGTTACCATCCTTTCGGTTTCCCCTGATTTGTCCTAGCTTAAAGGTTGTCTAGAGGTGCGAGTGGGGTTTCATTAGGAGTCCAGGTTTTAAAGCTTTATATTTTGGGCTGCTAATCATTCTTTCATTTTTAATTCTGTAAAAATCCAGTATGCCCACATTCTGGAAACTTAAGGAAAGGGTAAAGTCAGGGAAGCTCATAGTGTTCAGAGAAAGTCACCTGAAATTAAGGAGCTACCTGGACAGTCAGAAAATTTGGGTTCTACACTGTTTGTAAGAAACTTTTCTGGTCACTGTAAAATGAGCGATGTTCTCTTGATGTTCTCGACAAGAATGATCTTTAATTTTGACTATCAAACCAGTGGCAAAAAAGACCAACACTCTAAATTCAAAGCTAAAAATATACAATACAGACAACAATATGAAACAAAACATATATTATATATAGCAACATTAAACACTAACCCCCTGATTAATAAACAAGGAATAAGCTTAGACTAGTTACACCGTGTTTTGTTCGTGTCACTCAAATGTCATTTCTCATTCAATAGACAGAGACAAAACATGTAATAATTAATTCAAGTAGTCTTTGTTTATTAATAAGGGGGAAACGGAATATGGAAAAAGAAATGATTCTTTTGATGATGAACAATGATGTTAGTATTAGAACAGCCCTTACTGCAAATAGGGTTTATGAACTATAATGTGTGGGAGAAAGTTTTCAAGCTTACAACAGCTATATTTTTTACCACTATGGAGAAACACCTAGCATGTAAAGAGTAGGATTCATGATAAACAGTTAAATAAATAAAATAAATAAATATTTCCAACACTCACACCAATTAGCCTAGCCCCAAAGTAAGCACTATAAGGCTTGTGTTATGGGATACTAGGGTAACGGATAGAATACACATACTTTACATATATAAGTATATTTATATAGAAATACATATTTAAACATCCATGACTGGAGTGCAAATGCTCGTGTTCATCACACAAATATCTGCCCACACCGGGATTCGAACCCGGAACCTCTCGAGTCGGCGACGCCATGAAACCCGGCGTACAAACCACTCTGCCACGGAGGTCGTTACTTGAAAACTGCAGTAAAATGTTTCATTTGAGTGTCAGAAAGAATAGCAGTGCTGAATTTAAACTGCCAGGACATACAGAAAGTAAAACTATTATACAAGCTCTGACAAAAAAGAACATCCGAGAACAATATTGTATTTACAGAATGTGAAAAAAAATGTGTGACAAAGAAATGGGTCACTAAATCTGTTTTTATCACATCTATTCGAAAAGAGCTAGTTCGTTCTCTGTTGACCAAAATATATATTTTCATTGTAGCATATTACCATGACTTCTTAATATCGGAAATGGTTCAAATATCTTCCAAATAGGTATGGTTTTATCACCAGCCCGGCTAGCATGAGCATCGCGATATGATATATTTCTCGTTTTAATCACGCTCAAGTGACAAATTACTATGGAGTTTGACAGTTAGACGCAATAAAAAACGTGATACAACGTAAATTGAGGTGCTCATGCTACGGGGACAAAGCTCTATTAATTTATCATACTTGGGATCAGAGTAGTGATTGGCAGGATTGCATAAAGTTGACATTAAACTATCGAAAGTTTGGAATAATAATAATTGGCAGATTCATGATTACAAAAAAAAAACTTATTGGGTGTAGAAAAATAATTTTGCATGTTAACATGAATGTAATGGTGAAGGTGAGTTAACTATTAGAACAATGATTTACCATTACAAAATTTTTGCAATACACAAGTAAATAATTTACAGAGAAGGTCCAGAAAGTTGAAAAAGATCCTAAAAAGATATTGGTTCAATTGCAAGAACAGGAACAGAAGATTCGTGAACTAGAAGAAAAAGGTGATAATGCAGCAAAACAATTCAAAGAAAAAATAGCTTGGAAATCAGTTTTGCAAAAAGCTGAAGGCCTAAAAGTAAAAGATGACCCTTCTTTATTGAAAAAAACAATTAAGAAAACTGTGAGTATTTATCACATAATTTGGATTTGTCTTTGTGGGCAAAATGGCATCCCCTAAAAGCCCATTTTATATATTGCCAGTTGTTATAAAAAATCAACATTATCCCGTCAGTGTATAATTACAAAATAGAATAATTTTGTCTAGATTTTCAAGCCATTGATAATAAATAAATTTTTCATCCCACCACCTCGGAAAGTGTAATTTTGCGCTTCGAAATCTGGCTGGAAAATTCTATTTTATTCGCTTGAGCGGCAAAGTAGATTTGAATTTAGAACATCACATATAATGAGTACTCAATATAATTGTAAATTCAAAACGTCATTAAACCTATTTAATGTAACCTCTATGGTGCCAAATTTATGATTAGAACTTTTTAAATTGTTAAAAAATTTAAATTTGGAACCTTCTTGGTTTCTTTGTTTTATTTGCGTGCTTCGCGCCATTCTAGTTTTTCACGTTTTATTGCTTAAATATTTTGTCATTATAAATTGTTTTCTTTTTCATTTTGTCATTTCCTCGCTGAGGTGGGATGAAAAGTTACGTATTGCACTCGAGTGGAAAGATTTTTCACCTTGTGCTCGTTTGTTTCCCTCGCTGACGCTCAGGATTCTAATTTAGAATCACTCGCTGCGCTCGTGATTCAACTTTAGAATCCTTCGCTTGCTCGGTCATCCAAATCGAGCACGCGGTTAAAAAGGAACTTTCCACTCTTGTATAATAAATAACTATTGAGGGTTTGTATAATTTTTTGCAGAAATTAGGATCTAGATAGGTGGAAACTATTCTCTTTTTATGGGCTGTTCAAGGATTTTGTTTAGTGAACAGGCACAATATTAAATTTTCTTTGTTTTATGAACAGGAACAAAGAAAGAAACATAGTAAGAAGAAATGGGAAAATCGCATACAGAATGTGGAACAGAAGAAAGAAGAGAAACAAAAGAAACGCAAGGAAAATATAAGTAAAAAGAAGAAGGAAAAGAAATCCAAAGTTGTAAAAGCAGCTGCTAAAAGGGGGCGTGTTGTCCTATAGTTATACAAAATAAATTATGGACTAAATAAATTTGTTAAATTATGTTTGCCTTTGATTTTCGGGTACCCTACACACTACACGTTGGGTGTCAACAGAACAATATAAGATTTCACTCTCCTAAACTACAGGAATGTCGAGGTGTTAAGTGTATCTTTACGAAAAGGCCACTATGTCCGATTAAAGCACCAGCCGGCCTATTCGCTAACTATTTTGACATTAACCGCGTGTAACTAAAGAGCAAATTGCATATTCGTCGATGCTTTTCAGAACAAGTATCTTAGTGGCATGGCGCATCGCCAATAAAGCAGTAGTGGATCACTAAATAGTTCGGTGATTTTTACTTCCATCTGTCAAAAGCAGTTAGCGAATAGGCATACGGCACACTAATCTTATTCAACTGCAGCGAGATGCGAGACAAGGAGATGGATATCCTCGAAGCTGCAGCTGTGAAAGCTGCGTTGGAGGTTTTTTCTTGTGGTCACAGTAAAATCATGAGGGAGACCTATTTCTGTCTGTCCTATGGTGTGTCTATGTAGCGGATATCAATTATTTAAACGCTCTGTTTAAACAATGGTGTCGTTTCGAAACTGTGGTTCGAAGTGTAGTACACTAAAATTGAAACCATGTCGGTCTGGAGAGAACTCTCTCCTGACGGCCCTATAGGGGAGACACCAGGACTTACTTTTAAATTGTAGCCGTATATCCTTATCAAGATTTTATTGAAACCAGGATAGTTTAGGTAAGAGGTTTTATTGATTGTCATTTATCTAAAGCATTATCAGTAAACTAAAGAAGTTTTACCAACCATCCATATAAAGTAGGTGAATTTTGTATATAAACATAAAGTAGGACAGACAAAAATAGGTCTCCCTCGTAGTTCTACGAATAGGACAAATCACTAGGACCCCGAGAAAACGGCGGATATTTTCAAGTTCCCTTTACACCTGTTTAATATACATACAGGGTTACTTTTAAAATACCAGAAACCTCGCAGTTTGTTCTACGAGTTTTAACAAAACTCAATACATTGATCAAAAATGATTTTCTAAGATTTTAATATAGTGTCGGTTTGATTAAAACAAAAAAGCTTTTTTTTTGTTTTAATATATGTACTGTCGTGATATTTGTAGCTTTATAACGCTCGCGCGCGAACTTAATGATTCTTTCTTCACTCGAAAATATCTAATTTATGCTTGTTGAATCCACAATACCTTCATACTTTACTAGGCTTATGGATTTGCGGAAAATTGATCGAAAACAATTCATCGAATTACAATTCTTCGAACACAATTCATCGAAAAAACAATTCGTCGAAAAACAATTCTTCGAACGGTAATTCCAAAAAAAAAAATGAAAATTTAGCAGGAGGGAGGCTAAAACGAGGTGGGGAAAGGGGAAAAAGTATGAAAAAAAAAAACGTTGCACGTACAAAAGTGTCGTTTCTGGTGCTTCGCCGGCCGCTGCCGCGGCACGCTCGCTCCGCTCGCTCGGCTCGCGCGTTTTTGGTCATCATACTAACCTAACCTAATGAACTCTTTAGACTTTATTCATTGCGGGGGGCTTCGCCCCCCGAGCCCCCCTTGCGGGGGCTGCGCCCCCCCGCCCCACTTCGGTTCTTTCACTAATAATATGAAATATAAAAAGCATGAAATTCTACACATTAATTTATTTTGTATACATGTTTTATGGCATTAATTGTTTCTAAAAACGCGTCTTTTTTATATTTAATTATGTTTCTGCGCCACAAATATTCTACAATCGAATCTGCAAAATCGTGCGGATGGTTATAATTATCTTTTCTGAAATATCTTTTGACAGCCCTCCACTGGGACTCGATCCTCTGCGTGTGAGTACCGTCTGGGGCAATAAATGGGTTGTCTGGATCAGAATGGTTTACTTTTTTGTTTTTCGGGGAATTACCGTTCGAAGAATTGTTGTTCGATGAATTATTTTTTCGATGAATTGTGTTCGAAGAATTGTAATTCGATGAATTGTTTTCGATGATTTTTCCGGTGAGGAGGCTTATGACTCATCATCAGCCTATTAATGTCCCCACTGCTGGGGCACAGGCCTTACCTATGGATGGAATAGGGAGATTAGGTCATGACCCACCATGCGGGCCCAGTGCGGATTGGTGTGTGCTAACGACTGTAGATGCTGCCGGGACCAATGGCTTAACGTGGCTTCCGAAGCACGGAGGAGCTCGAGATAGTAAATTTTTGGTCACCCAACTAATGACCGACCACTGCGAAAGTTGCTTAACTACAACGATCGCAGCCGAACGGGTTAACCACTTGCGCCATCGAGCTCCTCCGACTTATAATAATAATAATGTCATTTATTGGCAGACAACACAGATCCATATGTTAGTATACAATATAACTTACAACTAAGTGTTAGTAGCCTATTATAATAAGTATTTACATATTCAGAATATTTATGCCTTTTCAATAGGTCATGTACCTTAGAGGCACTCCGCGCGAGCGACACCAAGAAGAATAATTAACTTCTATTTTAGTCATCATACCCACGGAATGCCTCCAAAATGGTGCGATCTTCAGAATGGTGTTGTTACTGCTCCGCACTCTACACATCAATGACGCAACTTTTTTCCGCAAGATGGCATGAAAACCATCAGTCCGAGTTTCAGTAAACATTCCGGAGGCACTACAGAAGCGGGGCAGTCCCAACATCATCCTGAAGATATTATTGTATTGCACGCACAAAGTGTCCATGGATTTTTTCATATATTTGGACCACAGACTTCCCGCGTACATACCCTGACAATAGGCTTTGAATAAGGTTATCTTGACCTGATCCGAACAGCGAGCGAATCTTCGAGTCAGCATGTTTCTTGACTTACTTGTAGCTAAAACAATCAAAAGCTGTACTTAGCCATCTAAACCTCAAAAATATGTGAAAACGATTAACTTAATCGTTCTTTATACTTTTCTAGTTACAATTTTAATATTGAATATTGGTCGCTAGGTGCCTATTACTCACTTTTAATTTTTAATGCACCTTATTCAAAATGTGGAATCAACGTATTTACAATAATTAAATAATTTACGATTTAATAATATTTACAAATTATTACCTCTGAGGTTCAAGTCTCGGGTATGGCGCGTGAGAAATCGCGCACATAGCGTTCAAAATAGTCTCCTTCACAACCAACACAGAGACCACACCTAAAAATCAGCTGTTCATTAACTCGTGCCAACACTGCCCAATTATTTTTAATTTGATTGATCAAATTTGAATTTGGGCCTTTGAAGGCCCAAGTTATTTTCCCCTTGAGCATGTCGCATTTTGTGATTTCGCGACCACTGTACACCATTGTTTTAACATATCCCCATAAATAAAAGTCCAGGGGTGTAATGTCTGGTGACCTTGCAGGCCATGCACGAGGCCCGCCTCGTCCTCTCTATCTATCGACCAGGATAAATCCTATTTAAATATTCTCTAACCTGGTGAGAATAAGGCGCCGGCCGGCGCGCCTTCATGTTAACTGCGAAAGATAAGTGTTTGAGCTGGTCTTTAAATATATTCAAAGACTGAGCGCGTCTGATATTAGTAGGCAAGGAGTTCCAAAGCCGCTCAGCTTTTACAGCAAAGGGATGGTCATAATAGCTGGTGCGGCGAACAGGCATCGTGAGGGTCAGATTTTCTGATGACCTAAGGAAAAGCGATAGGGAATTTTGTTGAAACTTAAACAGTTCTTTGAGATAGGAAAAGGGATTAAATAAAATATTGTAAAGGAGTGCTAGTATTAGCGTATTCCGGCTAGAGGTGTGCGCCGCGCCGCCGCCGCCGCCGCCACCGCCGATAATTATAACGGCTTGAAATCAGCGTGACATCATTTCCAATTTTTATACCTGCTAATTTTCATTTAATTCACATTATAATATACCATTGAAATGCCTCACTTTGATTTAAAACTCTTGAAAGAGTTGTTTAGAAGTACGTTAGGAAGGTATATTAATTATATTGTAAAACAATAGATGTTTACCTGTTTCTGAATTAAACAATAGAATTAAAGAAAGGGTTTCCATTCTCCCTCCAATTATACGGCGCGCGGCTACCTGAGCAAATTTAACAAAAATACCACGTGTGGTATTTTTGTTAAATTACTTGTGCTTGTGCCTAATTTCAACACAACGGATACTACACCAGTATCAAAAAGTGAGGATACGGCCTTAAAAAAACTAAAATTATCTAAGTATGAAATACAAACACTGTTTTCAACTTCAAAACAGTTAATATTGGAAACATTTCCGCAGGCTTGTGTTACTAAAAGACGGAAAAAAGAAGCACGTCCTAACTGAGCAAGTCTTTTGTAGCGTTTGCTTTTCTGATTCAATTCGAGATGATCATGATGCAGTTTTTGGCCTGTATGTTCGAAATATAAAATATGTATATGATTACTACAAAACGGCTCTGTTGAAAAACCCGCAGAAGCAGAGGTTTACAAACTGCATTGAAACGTTTATGTATCACTAGCTTTAGCCTGAGACTTCGTCCGCGTTTTCGTCGTTTTTCGTAAAAAAGTAGCATATGTCCTTCTTCAGGGTTCCGTGGTTTTGATGTGACAGACAGATTAACTTTCGTATTTTAGTAGGGAAATATAATAGCAGCATTTTACCTGAAATAAAATGCATATTAAAATACTTACCTCACTGAAAGCTTTATATTGAGATAGCACTTCCGTTTCCCGTCGAATTACCATCAGTTTCCGTACTTTTATTCACCTTGTATCCGGTCCAGTGGCGACACCTGGCAGAAGCGCGGCCATTTTTGTTTTCCTAAGTTTTGACAGCGCCATATTAACTCATTGGCTCAATTATTTCACCAGGCAGAATTTAAAGTGAAAGCTTTCAGTGAGGTAAGTATTTTAATATGCATTTTATTTCTGGTAAAATGCTGCTATTAAACTACTTGACCGTCACTGAAAGCTTTATATTGAGACCTGTTTGTTATCGCCTGGTGATCGCCACGTACATAGATATATACGCCAATGTGACAATTTATGATAAATTTAAATATTAACATTTATCAGATTATATGAAACTGTATAAAGAAACGAGTAAGCTTAAAAATGAATCCAATAATATTATTTGAATCACGCCTTTAATTTCTTCAAGCTTACGAAGCTGCTTTAACATATGTATTAGCTGATCGCTATATTCCTTTGCTTAAAACTATGACCGGACGCTTCCTTGTGTAGCATTCATTTGTATCTTTGTATATCACAAATAAGGCGTACGAACGCGAGAAAAAGATGTAAAGTTGTTCGATACCGAGTCTTACATTTTACAAGACTGTACTTTTTACTTAAGTACCAAAAATCAGGCTCCCACTTACGATTACCATTATTCGGTACAAGTCACAAATCGGATTGTCTTTAACTACTTTCACCTGTTTTGAACCAAAACAAGGCTAAACTAATCTTCGTCGGTACAAATACAATGATTCGGGATAATTTGAAATAGGAACAAGTCATGTGTACCACATGCTGAACCAAATAATACGCAGCATAATTACTGTATGACGTTCAGAACAACATATATGACGAAGTATTTGAAACAGATCATTATGATGTAACGAGTACATTATTGAAGAAAAGGAAATAAGTTAACTTATAGACACAGAATAGTAGGTTACGGACTGATTCTTTAAAAACAATCGACTTCAATATATGTGTTTGCCAAGACAGTTGAGCTTAGGTAATTAGACTTATCATCCATTGGTATATCATGTAAAAACTACTGACTTATTTAAAATAATGGTACTTATTTTAAGATAATTCACGAGTTAAAAATAAGTCGCTCAAAAATCGTGTGAGCTCAGAGCCGAGTCCACAACTTGCGGGATTATTCCGATAAACATTCTTGTTCCTAGACCAATGCAACCACGCAAGCCAGCGTTTCCGAGCCATCTCATAGCTTTTTAAGACAGAGCTGTCGCTCTTTGTAGAATATGTTGAAAAGCGTAGTGCTAGCATATCGTGCCGTGTTCTTCAACTATACTTCCCAACCTTTCATATTAGATTGGCGGGAAGTGATTGCAAGGTCGATTGCAGTGAATTCATAATTATTGTTAGAAGTAGGGAGTGGTTGATACAACCCCACGGAATGACACAAATGTTGAAACCGATCAACTTCTGAAGTTTACGTTTGTACAACGAAATTCTCTGGTATAGTTTTTATATTGTTGCTGGGTTGCCGTGATAAATTATGCTATTACGAAGTTCAGACCAGATTTTATGAAATTCATTTGCCATCCTGGAATCTATAATTGATTGTAATTTTTCCTTTTGTTTTTCAGTTCTTAGATCTGAGTCATTTATATGTATTACTTAATACTAAATAAAGATTTAGTTATTTATAAGATTTACACAGCTTACATGAGGTGTGTATGTACTATGCGTAGGGTTTGAAGTATATTT